TATTAGTGGCTTCTGAATGGAGTGGCCAGTCAGGGCAGAGTGGTCCCACCTTAATTCACCTCAACAAAGAATTAAGGTGGGACCACTCTGCCCTGACTGGCCACTCCATTCAGAAGCCACTAATATCAAGTGAAGTGAAGTGGCTATTCCTCCCTGACAAAGAAAAATGCACTGCCATTTAACAGCTTTCTACTGAAGAAACACTTCAGCTGAAGTCTCAAGAAAGTTCACCACCTTTTTGAAGATCTGCATAGTTTTAGCAATTATCATAACTTGGGCTTCATTTTGGTACATTTAGATTTATCTTAGGGATGACACAAGTTTAGGCCTGAATGGAAATGACTCTGTCTCCATTAGCATCATGACTTTTTTTCCTTATCTGCCATAGATGAGCGAGAGCGAGACTTTGATCAGTATGGTGAACAGAATGGTGGAGAGCTCCTCTCCTAGGGCTCAGCTGTACTTGCAAGTAAGACATCACAGCAGCTCTGCCATCAACCATGTCATTCCAGTTGCTTTTGCATGGCAGAACCATTCCAGTATCATTGTTCCATGCCTCACCTCTCCAACCATCTGTGAGATGGCCATTCAATTTCCCATCCCACAGTAGTGTTTATTTATAAAGCTCATCATGGCATCCATGCCCCCGCATGCTAGTGATTCCAGTAGAGGAGGCTTTCTTGAAATGGTTTACGTCTATATCTTTCTTTAGAGATTGGTGAAAGCAATTCTGGTAATGAGCATCTTGTGCCAGCTCCTTTTCTCTAGTGTAATTCTCTATATATGTATGTAAAAGATCTGGATTACAGCCGATAACCACCATTTATAAAACACTTGTCAGGCTATTTTCTGCTAGAGGAGAAAACCAGTTGATTAGTTTTTTTAATGAAAAAATCTTCTTTGTTATCATATTTATATGACTTATGGTACATCTGGAAAGTGGTTAAGCACAGTAACTTCTATAATTATATTTACATGAAGGACGAGTAAAGTTTTCCACAGTAATTTACCCTTCTAATGGTAGAGTTGTCTTAGATTTGTGTAAAGATTCTGTTTTTGTAGGCTTGGCATTGTTTATTTTGTATTGTGCAATACAGTGAACAACAGAATAATAGAGCTGCATTCTTTCCAGTTACTGCCAGCCATCTACCATCAATCTCTGTCTTTGGCTTCAATATTTGTTTTGTCACTTTTATTACTAAAATATATTTTTAATGGGTTTGCACCACTGTATAAAGAAAATAACAGTTGAACCTTGCTAATAATTGCTGGTTAGATGGAATACGTTTGGAGTACCTGAGTTCTGTTTATTATATGAGAAAGTAGATTATTGTATATTTAATGAGACTTCATTATAAGTCCAGGGCCTTGTTTCTGTTAAGGGTTGCATTCTTTCAGAGTAAGAACCACATGGCGGATGGAACTGAAGCAAGGCCATAGTCAAGAGGAGATGGGGACATTTGTTCTTTCTCATACACTTTTGGGGGGGGGGTCTGTTTGGCACCCTCTTCCAAAGTACCAGCTTTGTGAAGAGGCAGATAGCTCTTCCTAGAAGTCTAAATTGGTCTCCGGCTAAAGGTTTGGAAAATAGGTCATGAATCCTTGAGGGCTATATGTTGCTGTTCTCTGATCTACTTGCACCAGACAGCCTGAAGATGGTTTTCAACCCTGTTCAGAAAATAGAGATTATTATGTTGCATAAACTTCACAAGAAAATGGGAAGATGCTGCAGACCAAAGTGGACCTTTTGGCCATTTTATTTATATGGACAAGCAGTTATCTTTTTGGGGATGGCAGTGCATTTGAAATCCTTTTGTAATGAAAAAATGGTATTAAAAGTAGTAAAGACTTATGTTTTAGGTGCTGTAATAGTTAAATAGAAGCATGGTGCATCATGTTCATGGATGGGGCTTTTCCTCCCAGCAGCACCTTTTCCATTAGGGAAGTACATTCTAATCAGTTCCTGCCAAGTATGTGGTAAGGCCTTGACTCCTGTTCTGTTATCAGGCCATAATGGAGGGGGGTTTGATAACAATAAACTTGGGTTCTGATATGGTGGGGGTTTTTTTCTGTGTTGCTCTTCAAGCATTGCCCACTGGTAATGGGGGTCCACAGAGAGAGATGTCAGAATCTACAAGATGGCAGGTGCAGGGTCACAATCAAACCCCACGTATTTTGTACATGCATGGAGATGCACAAAGAAAAAGGATAGGGATTTAATCACAACACCACATCCATCATCTTGAGGATTTTGACACTCCTTGCAGACCCTACTGTAATCCATATTCTCCTGTCTTATTTGTTAACCCAGTTGGGGATAAGTGCAATTAGCAACTTCATTTTTCCAGAGGGAAAGGATGCAAAATGTGGTTTTGGTTTGGAAAACTCACTCCAAAAAGGCAGTGTTTAACAGCAACCTCCTTAGTTTTTGGTTTTGGTTTTGGTTTTGGGGTTTGTTTGTTTGTTTTTTTGCATTCGTATTCCTATTTTGCTTATAAGTTTAGATCTGGCTATTATGTAAAGCAACTTCATCTTGAAAAATATTGCTCAGTTTTTTGCAGTTTTGAAATCAGCAAAAAAATTGGGAATACAATTCAGCCTGTAAAGATCTTCATAATTGTGATTCAGTACAGGGTCTCATATTAGAGTAACACCCAGTCCTTCTCTGCTCCCATTGAACTGTCTTGTTAATTCAGCTAAATCTGGCTAAAAGTCAAACTATCCTGAGCAATTTTTCTGAGAAGTCAGGAACCTAACCATCTATTTATCAGCCATTCTCAAAGCAACGTCTTAGATACTGGCTTCTGCCTAGCATATAAAGGCTTGCGCCCAGAAAGCTTAATGCAATACAATATATATGCATAAAAGCAATTGCTATTAGGCCTACAAACCCCAGCAAACAATCTTCTTGGCCTTGTGTGTTACATTCTTGCTTTGCATATTAACTATTAATTACATTAGTATTCTGTGTAGAATAACCCTTTTGCACCGTTGTAGCTATGACATTTTTAAGGAACTTTTCTCTCCCTAATCATCCTAAATTCTAGAGGGGCAAGGAGAAAAGGTCATATCTTTAACTCTCTTTACAAATATATAGAGTTGCAGTAATCATGAATGTAACCCACTGCTTTATCGCACAAAGTGTGTAATTGCCTGATAGTTGCACATCTAACATGCATGCTCTGTTGAAGAGTTAATTTGTTCATAAATCTGAGCAATCATTACATTAAAAAGCAACATCTTGTTATAACCCTGACTGTTCCTTTCTATGTTGAAAGCAAAAGAGCCATTTTCTTACTATCTGACGTGGAAAAGTTGTCTTCCTTGACAAAGTAGAAGAACTGTTTTCAAAGACAGCAAAGAATCTTTAGTTAGATGGGGGGGGGGCAATTGTCATGCAAGGTAATGTCTCTCTTTTCCTTCAATTATACATTGGTTTTGAGAAAGGCTTCATGGAAAACCTAATAGCTAGAGCTGTACAATCTGATAATGTATGCGTGTGTACAGTATGTATGTGTAGAGGGTGGGGAGATCCACCAAGCAGAAGCAGCCTTGGATTTCCTCAGGGGCTTATTATGACAACATCAAGGCAGAGCAGCAATAACCTGTTTTTATTTTTTCAGGTATCTCATTTCCCTGAAGCATATAGAGAGACGCTGCACACCTACAAGATAAATGAGCAACACACAGATGTAAGAACACCTCTCCTTCACTGTCATCTGCCTACCCAATCCATCCCCCATCCTGTTACCACTGTCTATCCTGCACTCCCTAAAGTTTGTGTTTTTTTCTTTCCATTTCTCTCCAACATCTTTAGATAACCCATCTTTTCTGCTAATAGAGCTGCAAAGCTGTAAAGGCTCTTGATCACCCTCCATCAAAAATCTTGTACACTCTCTTTTCCTTTTGCATCTTTTCCTTCTACTCAAGGCATGTGTCTTCATGTTGGTTTAATTGTTTGTAGGTTCCCTTGCATGGATTTGGAATTCAGAAGCTGAGACCAGGTCCCTGGTGGGATCTGACTGATCTCCATCAAAGCCGCTAAGAGTTTATATTTAGCATTCTTGATGTCTTTTACAAACTTCATGTTGCGTTTCTCTCTCTTATTCATGGCAGAAGCTTCTAGGAAAACTCTGTGAACAAAACAAGGTGATAAGAGAACAGGAAAGACTAGTGCAGCAACTTCGAGCAGAAAAGGTAAAGGACATGAATCACAAAAATAGGGTAGTAGTATAAACAGGCTGCTTTCAGCTCCTGTGAATGAACCTCAGTTCCCAGAAGCTTTCATAGCATGACTAAAAATATTTCATCTTCTAGGCAATGGACATATGTAACAGGAGTATTTCCAGTTCCCTGAAGCTAGGAGACAGAAATACTAAAATGTTGTCTGGTGAAGTGTTATAAATATTTTAAATCTGCCAAGTCATGAGAGTTCTCTGGGTTGATTACAAAACTATAAACTGAATAATAATAAAAACATAAAATAGCAAATGTTAAAGACAAATGTTCTTTAAATAAATAGATAAAAACCACCATCTTTATACAATGCAGGCAATAAAATTCTAAATTCAGCCATCAAAAGTAAGCACTAGGTGTGATTCCCAGGAAAGACATTCTATAAGCAGGAGCCCCTCACTGTGTTGCCCCATCCCCCAAAGTTACTTGCCTGGCTTCATTTTGACAGGGACACCTGAAAGAGGGACTTTTAAAGTAACCAGAATGCTCAGAGAAGTACATATGGGGAGAGGCATTCCTGTAGGTATCTGGCCCCAAGCCATTCAGGTCTTCAAAGAGTAGAAGCACTGATTTCTCATGTCTAAATTGAACAGTCCCAGTTAATTTCCTGGCAGCTCTGTTTTGGAGTAACTGAAGTTTCCATCTTCAAAGGAGTCATGCAAAACACATTACAATAATTTAATCAAAAGTTTACTAGAGCATGTAAAATTGAGCACTGGCTATCCCTTTCAATGTACGGTTGTTTTATGAGGTGATAAAACTACTGCTGAGTTTCAAGAACATTCCAGACTGCTTTCCTGAACTCTCAGAAGGGGTGTAACCCACACTGGAACAAATGATCACAAACACCCCAAATAAAATCTCTCATCTCAGTCTGCATTGAGTTTCAGTTTCTTGATTTTCATCCAGGCAATTATGGTGTGTTCCAGAACATCTACTATGTCAGCTGTGTTAAATGAGAAATGTCATCTGTGTATTGATAATAGTTCACCTAATATCACATATAATTTTCCACAGCAGTTTCGTGTAGATGCAAAATAGGAATATGAAATAATTGCAATAGGACAGAACAGTAATTCACAGCATTACCTTCTGGAATTGGCTGAACCACTCTCAGTCAGATAGCTGATGGATACCGTGGTTGATGGTACTAAAAACTTCCAAGAAGTCCAAGGAAAACAACAGGCTTGGTGTTCCCTCTGTTTTATTCTCAGCAAAGGTCACTCCCAAGGCAGTCTCTGTCACAAAATCAAAGTGAATATAGAAAATCAGTTTTATGTCTGGAGTTGTTTGACAAGCAGTGATTCAAGCACCTTTCCAAAGAAATGGAGGTTGGCAACTGTCTGCCATGCTTTTGAGTCTAGGTCAAGTTTCTTTAATAGGGCTTGATTATTGCCTCTTTCAAGGCAATAGAAACTGTTAGAACACATCCAAGGACTTTGTGTCTTTGGGCACAACTGCTAAAATTCCTCCAGTACAACTGAATGAGACAATACTCTGGACACTTCAGTTAATATAACTGTTCTAACCATGGAATCCAAGTCATACCAGAAGTGAGCAATTTCAACTTGCAAATTTTTCACAGCAAATCCTTTCAGGATTGGTGTGTGTAATATGCCCCAATTTGTATCATTACCAAAAGAGTTCTCTGAACAATACCCTGGAGACACAAATGAATGATCTCTTTGCTGCTCCCACCATACCAGAGTAGCATCCATCATGGCTTATTACAGCCACAGCCAGCCTGTGGACTGAGGTGATGCTAGAAAAATAAGACCTGATTTCTGCCTCCCAGCTAAGTGCCAGTGTCGAAATAAGCTTCAGTTATCAGTTCATGTGACTCTGGGACATGGGAGAGTAGTTGGGGGTTACACTGACTTGGCCCAATCTAAATTTTATTGCAGAAATATTGATAATAAACCCTTAAATTCTCAGGGCTTCATAAACTACCATATTCTTATTCAGATCCTGATGTATAGGCATGTTTCTGTTTGTAAATGCTTAAGTAGAAATCCTTATCTCATCCAAGAAATTTATAAAGTTCAGTTCTATTTTTCTCATAAATTTACTAGCTTTTCTCCCTGGAACATGAGAAAAGTTCCGTTAAATTTAACAATTTTCTATTCTTTTGAACAGAATAGAAATAGGAATGGATCCATGGGCAAACTTCTTAGAAACGGTGGGAGTGAGGCTCCAAATCTTAGAAACAGTGCAAGAGTAAATGTTCTAGTCCAGAAAGAGAATCTTAGCTAGAAAATGAACTCCAAGTCTTTGAGTCCTGAATTTGTTTCTGAATCACCTGCCTTTATTAATAAACATGTATTTTCTCATGCTCATTTCATCGCTAGGAGAGTCTAGAGAGTGCACTGATGGGGACGCACCAGGAACTAGAGATGTTTGGGAGCCAGCCAGCCTATCCTGAAAAGCTGCTGCACAAGAAGGAATCTCTTCAGAATCAATTGATCAATATCCGGGTGGAATTGTCCCAAGCCAGCACGGTAATCTAAGAAGTCCTCTGCATTAAAAGCATTCCATTCTCTATGGTCTCAAAGAGATCCCAGACACCTAGCAACCTGCAGGGACCTAGTCCTATCTAAGGCAGTGTTTCTCAACCTTAGCCATTTTAAGTTGCGTGGACTTCAACTCCCAGAATTCCCCAGCCAGCATGCTGGCTGGGGGATTCTGGGAGT